AGGAAAGGGACGTAGTACTGAATAACGCACACAAAACTCGTGACTCAAACATTCGTATTCGACCTGAGTGGCCTCTTGAAGATCGGATCAAGTGGAAGAATGCCCTAACAGAGTTAAAAACTCGAAAGCTAAACGGTGAAGCGAACCTTACGATTAAGGGTTTTCGGGTAGTCAGGTCTTGGAAGCCAATGCTTCCGAGATCTGTGTGGGTAGAACGTATGTCTCCAAAAACGCTTTAAATGTGTGTTACACGAATGCTCGTAGTCTTCGAAATAAGATGTCTGAGCGAAGTTTGATGGTAGACGACTTAAATCCGGATATAATTGTTATCACCGAAACTTGGCTCACTGTAGATATAGACTGTTCTCCAGTCATTTCAGGCTACATCTGTATCAGAAGTTATAGAGTTAGAAGTCGCAAGGGAGGAGGCATAATATTATATGTTAGGGACCACTTCTGCGTAAACTCGACCATATCGGAGGCGCATGTAAGTGGTACGTGTGAGGTAGTATGTTGTACAATTAGGTCTAGAAACGGGTTAGTGACGATAGGAGGAATATATCGTAGTCCGTGTTGTCTCGCTGACGACTTTATCCTAAGACACGTCTGTTCTTGTAGTAAGGCAGAATCTTGTCTCATCGTTGGAGACTTCAATGCACCCCATATAAACTGGACAGAGCTCACAGCTCCAGGTGGAGGTTTCGATAGCGTCCTTCTGTCATCAATTATTCAATGTGCACTTGTACAATGTATCGTTAAGTCGACGCATATAGACTTGGAACATAATCCGTCATTGATAGACCTTGTCCTCACACACCACTGTGAAGATATCGTCGACATTCAACACCTTCCCCCACTGGCGAATAGTGACCATGTCGTACTTCCCTTTAAGTTCCGGATACATTGTATAGAATTTGCATCTGCTCCACCCCGTCCTAATATCTGGAGAGCTAATATTCCGGCAATCAGGGACTAAGCTATCTCAATTGACTGGTCGGTCGATGCTGATGGATCGATTGGTGATGCATGGAATAGGTTCAAGTCTACGTCCGAATCCGTAACTCAACCGTTTATCCCATGGTCAGCACGTAAGCTATCATGTTGCCCCCATGGATTAATAAGGAAACCCGGAAGCTGTTGAAGCGTAGGAAACACTTCTGGGACTTATTCTTGTCAACAGGTCAGGCATCGTTTAAGTGCGAATATAAAAAAATCCGGAATATAAGTAAAAAGACCATAGCTAAATCCCACATGGCTTACGAACGACAGTTGGCATACGATAGCCGTACCTGTCCGAAGCGACTGTTTTCGTACGTTAAAAGACGGACGAAACGTAGTGATGGTATCCCCTTATTACTGTTAAGCGAAAATTCAGCTTTATTGGCTGAATCTGATCTAGCGAAAGCGGAGACATTTGCTAACTATTTCAGTGAAGTTTACTCTACGTGTAGTGTTACAACTACTTGTCCCGTTGACAATGAGATACCAGCCGTAGGACCTTTGCACGTGACAGAGGATATTGTTCTTCCTTTGATAACTAACCTCAAACCTTGTAAGATACCGGGCCCCGATGGGTTACACCCACGTTTTCTGTCATCGCTTGCAGACATTATCTCAAGACCGCTCACGATGCTCTTCAACATATCCCTTTCACAGGCTCAACTACCTAGAGACTGGAAAGACACCATAGTTAGTCTTATATTTAAGGATGGTCAGAGACGGATCGTATCTAACTATCGGCCTGTTAGCCTGTCCAGTATAGTAGTTAAGTTACTTGAAAAATTAATTCGAGCTAAGCTACTAAGCCACATAGATTCGTACAATCTGTTAACTCCCGAGCAACATGGGTTTCGTAACAAGCATTCATGCTTGACTAACTTACTCATTGCGAGAGAGGATTGGACAGCTGCCCTAGACAACAGCCAGTCTGTCGACGTGATATTCATAGATTTTAGCAAAGCGTTTGATAAGGTTTCACACTTAGGTCTTATGCAAAAGCTCTCGAGCTTTGGAATAACAGGTGCTATACAGGAATGGATAGAAAGCTTCTTATGTGACCGCAGACAGAGAGTGAGAGTCAATGGAACTCTATCCGAATGGAAACCGGTCAGAAGTGGTGTACCCCAAGGCACCATCTTAGGCCCTGTACTTTTCCTTCTGTATATTAATGAACTACCTTTATTGCTTAAGTCATTGACGTTATTGTTTGCGGATGATGTTAAAATCTGGAGAACAATAAGTAATGAGACTGATCGTTGTTATCTACAAGCAGATTTAGACGAATTAGTTAGGTGGGCTCATGATTGGGGCCTGGAAGTTAATTCCAAGAAAAGCGTGTTCATGCACATCGGGCACGATACTAGTTACCATTATACCATTAATGGTACATCCCTGCCACGCGTTCATGAGCACAAAGACTTAGAAGTAATTATAAGTCACGACTTAAAAACTACTACGAACTGCAATGCGGTTGCTTCCAAAGGCTTTCGCGCGCTACGGTCGCTTCGCAGAGCATTTAAATGCTTTGACGAGGAGATGTTTCGAATTTTATATCCCACCTATGTAAGGCCACACTTAGAATACTGTATCCAAGCAGCTAGCCCTTGTCTGATAAAGGATACTAAATCGCTTGAGCGTGTCCAGGGTGTAGGGACAAAATTAATATAGGGTCTTTCTAAACTCCCTTACGATGAGCGTTTAAAACGTCCATATCTTTTCCCCTTATCTTATCGTAGGACGCGAGGTGACCTTATACTGGCATTTCGTATCTTTAATTATTATCTGGGTGTTAATATGTCTTATCTTTTTGCTCCCTCCAGCACTAATAATCTCCGGGGTCATAGCAAGAAGGTTCTGAAACCGCGATCTAATAAACTAAAGGTGAGGTCCCGTTTTTATCATCGAGTGGTCAATGATTGGAACGCTTTACCAGAACAAGTGGTATCGGCACCATCAGTGAACATTTTCAAAAAGAAGCTGGACCTTCACTGGAAGGAAATCTGTCAGGATTAACACAGGTTCATCAACCTACTATTCTTATTACTGAAGACTGAATGCATATAAAATTCAGTTGTAAGTGAATGAAAAAGTGAACACTAAGACCTAATACAGAAAGCGGAACAACACGAAATCAAGTGGTTTATACCATCTCATAACAAACATGTCGGAGAGAAAATAAACTTCCTATTTATTATACTTATACTGTTAAATTCAAATGAATTATTTATTTACTTCATCTCAAGATGGCAATCAATTGATCCAATTTCTTATATCAGATCGTTATATAGGAATTGCATGTTGGACAAAGTATTGTTAGTCGTATTGTGGTTAATTTGATGTCGGTATATATTGTTGCGTTTTTTCAGGTATAGATTCCAGTTTGTATATTCTCAGGTGGTTTCGAATCAAAACATCATGGCAGTTTATTTTTTGTTTTTGTTGGTGTTTGAATTTGTTGACAAACAGCTCTCGAAATGCTTTGATATGTTTTATCATTTAATAAAACATCAAGAACGTTCTCATTATTTAGGGAAAACTTTCGTGAAGGTACTAAGTTTGTTCATGTAACAGTTTGTAGCTACATATTTTTTATGTACGTGATCTTTGGTACTTGTTAGCATACAAACATATGGTCTCCATGATTAAGCTCGGTTGCTTCACCAAGCAGACGTTGAAGTTTAAGCCATAGTAGTCTCTAAGTGATATGGAATTAAAAAGTGAATAATCCTGATACCTATACTACAGTCCTTCTATCATATTGTTCTTATTCTTATAGCATTATTTTCACTTTTCCTTTACTTTCTCCACAACATTCACTTTGTTTCTTCAGCTGAAGAAGATTCCTAGGAATCTATAAACAAAGATTTCGATCGAATGATATTATGTGACGGTGGAACAATGTTCCAAATGCATCGTGCAACTGAAATTCCAGTACCTGATGCCTTTGAAAAACCTTTCTTTCAAAATATTACTTATTTATTTGACGAAAAGAGTCATAGACCTTCCATCTAAAACAGTTCGGGTTTTCTCAAAGTTTGTTTTCCTGAATTCATCAATGTCAAAGTAATCGAAATAGCATTGGATGTCGACCAAGTTTTCAATCATATGTTTACGTACACTTTGGTGTACTTTGGTTTTATCCACAAATCATAATACTCTTTGACTATTCTAACTGTGTAAGTTACAGAAGAGCCTTGCAATTTTACCTAGTAGCTAAAAGTAAATTGTCTTAACCACAAGGTCACTACCATAAAAAGTGACCATACAGCCGGAATGTTAAGCTATAAATGCTTTTACACCCAATTTTAGCTTGTAATCACTCATTTCGGCTGATATATTTCACAACAGTGAATACACTAACTAAACATTTGGTGCTAGACCAGTCGCTCACAAATGAATTCGTGTAGCAGGTTATAGGATAAACTAACAGTACGAGCAGCAAGCTGTATTGTCAAACAAGTTTAAATAAACAGCTTGCGAATGTATCTTACAAACGTTAAGTTAATCTTAAGTTATTGTTTAAAAGTCATCCGTAAGTAATAGAAACTTCCCTCCTATTTTAAGCATTTAAAAGATTTGGTCGGGGCGTCAGTAAACTTCTAGTAGCGTGTTTTCAAAGCAGAAATATATGTGGTCAGATTTCATCCAATCGTACTTATTGTTTGACGGCTATAGTTTGTACTCAATAGCTACCCAACAGCTATATTTATTTCTCATCAAACCTAAAATTTGGATAAAATAAGGGTAGAAACTAATTGTCTAGCTAGATATTATTGACAATATACAGGTTATTACATCCAATAGTTGGAACAACAGTTGCCAAATATTCCTCACTTGCATTTATTCATTTCTATGTCATGTAAAATCCTGGGGTGTCATGTCTACTTTAAAAATTATATCCAAATATTTTAGGTTTATGATCATCATTTTGAGACCGTTCATGATATCTTTGAACTTTCTTTTTCTGCAGGTTTCATGTCCTAAATTATTTTCAAAGTAAAATGACTGTAAAGGTTGAGTCTTTTCTCGTGGAACGAATTGTGTATATCGGCATAGCTTTAATCATCCCAAGCTATTCAATTTATAAGCTTTTTATCTCTTCAAAAAGTTCAGGTGAAATACCTTCTTTAAACTATAATGATAAATTCAGTGAATCTAAATTTATTACGACTGAAAAATGTCAGTTTATCTCAAAATTTGGTGTTAATGCAAGATGCGGCTGAATTACAGTGGACGTTGCTCCCGTTGTGGATGAGTTTTGTACCTTATCTTTTACTCCATTCAATCGCATCATCATTGGTTTTTACGTTAGTGAACAAAAAAGTACTACATGCTTGTTCCTATATAATCAGTGTAGATATTCAAATGTTGTCGAATAATATTATCGATTTCGCTCATCAATTATTTGGTGGGTTTTAAAATCATAATGGACGTCTTTTTGAACGTATTATGCTTTTCATGCATAAGTTATTTGGTCTTTGGAAATTATCTCTTGATGTGGGCGTTTGCGGTTTTAGTGTTTCAAGCATCTGAATTTTTTGTAAGTTCAACGAACTATAATATTAGTTAACTTTTTAATTCTTTTAGGAGATTCACTATTGCATGTATTTCCAACTTTTAACCCATATGGGAAATATTTGAAGTCTATATATTTTCATTTAGTTCGTGTTGGTTTTATTGAAGTGACAACTTGCTGCAAAACCGTGAAAAGACTAAATCCGCCTGTATAAAATACTGGTGAACAATAAATGTTGGAGGTATTGTAGATACTTTTTGTGTTAGGGCTCAAACTGAATAGTACTAGCGACTGCTTAACCTGTTACAGAACGCTTCATTAAAAAACGGTTTATTTAGATTTATTGTAAAGCGTATTGAAAAGGCTGAAACAATTGGTAAAATGGGTTGAATTATATCAAAATGAAATCACTATAGCAGTTATTAAAAGTCCAATAACTTCTCAAAGATGTCCATGAAACAAAGATAAAATGTGTTGCAAGGTTTCGACAATCTAACTTACAACTTATTATGGAAGTTTGTAGTCATAAAAATACAAAACTTTTGTTTTGAAGCACAAATTACTATGATTGTTTTCAAATTACTCATTTTACTAGAAACCAAACCACTTATTCTTACATTTTGCTATGCAAATTCCTAAAGCATCTAAAATTATAAAACACTTAGTTCTTATTTTCAAACGTAATAGTAATAAACATCAACTACGGCTCCCAAACATTTTTTAACTTCAATCAGACTGATATTTCAGTAGTTAATGATAATCTCTTGATAAGATTAAATTCATATTTCTTACTTTGTCTCTTAGAGTTTATTTGAGGAAAAGTTATGGTAACAGATATGTTATCTCAAACCCACTAGAAACCCTTTTCTATTTAGTTATCTTCTTAAATTTTGATCACTTAAATGGAAACTAGTTTGTTCAAAATCTTTAAAATTCCTAAACATAAGAAACAAAACAGCAATGAATTTTTAAGGGGCAAAACGAAAGCTTTTTTGAAAACTTCTATTCTTAAATAGATAACCATTTGATTCATTACGTTTATCTTCCAAATTGTGAACTGATACAAATATATGGACATACGTAAATATTTTTTGATGTTTGTTAACAATTAGTAACTGCTTATCACCTTTTGTGTTTTATATATTGCTTAAACTAGGAATCATCGTTTAACCTTGGATTGATGTCATACGACTGGTATATGATCTTATATGCGGCGCATTTCTATATAGTTCTACGCAGTTTAAGTGTGGCGTTATCGTTTCAGAAATCTTCGGACAAGCAGACAGAAAAAAAGGGTTCAATCATTCACTGTACCGCTAAATCCTCACTAGAAACTTTATTGGATGTATTAGACTATTCTTTATATCCTCATGCATTGCTGTTAGGTCCACTCGTCTTGTATTCAAATTGGCTTAATTTCTGGGTAAGCATTCTCAGAACAATATTATTTCATTTTTGTCCAGTTTTCCAACTTCCGTACAAAGATCATGCATGTAGATTATTGGGAAAGATCCAACATATAGGTTAGCACTTTAGTTATGTTTGTTTATCAAAGCAGTTAAATTTATTAGTATTATAAAGCATATACAGGTATTAGGCTAGTGAATAATTGCCACCAGCTGTCTCTCAGTTCATTGTATTTAGACCCGACCATCGGCCAGTTAAGTAAATGGTAAATAATGCAGTACAATTAGATTTGGTTATGAATCTATAGATTTGTTTTCAATAAATTATAAATCCACATCTCCATTATTTTTCAGTCATATAAAGTGAAAAGTACCAGCTTTTTGCACAGTTAAAGCAAGCAGACATACTAATTTTCGTCAAGTTACTGCATATATATAATTATTGATTATAGTAAATAAAAAAAAGACATTTTATAAAAGGTATTTTTGCTGAAATGTCTCCCTAAAATGAGGAATAGATTATGAATATCCCAGTAAAAAATATATTCGATCCATGTTTATTTACAGTGTGTATTATTATCAGTTATTTAAATTAATTCATCAAAAGTTAAACTATTCGTGTACAATAAGTAGATGTTGTGGCATTCTCATTCATATATTTAACCGAAATATTGATTATACTTGCGCTACTACATATTCGCATGTAGTTCTAGACTGTTTAACTGTACATTTACCATAATCGATGGTAAGAGTGATCATGTGGACTGGAGTACTTTGAAAAGTCTTTATGCATTCATATTCAATCTTACATAATCGTCAAATACGTGATAGTAACTTTATTCATGAATATTGTTGCATATGATTGACAATCTTTCATTTATATGACACTGAAATATATTCCGTCTGAATTATGATGGTATTAGAGAAGTAGTTTAAACAAAAAGATACCCGTTAATATTTTTATTTTAGTAAATATGAGCGTATTATTACTTGTACTTGAAATCAATTGGTGAAATTGATTATGCTTTATATACTAATTTGACGCTAAACATTGATATTTGCTTTTATAAACACAATTGCAAAATTTTAGCGAAAAAGTTATTCTTCACGTTAATATAACAACGAAGGAAGGAACAATCTTTTGAGATGATTTTCTACTAGCACACTTGCCAAAACTTTAAATTACAACGTGAACTATATTAGTTGACTTTGGATATATTAGAATCTTACGTGAATAAAGGATTTTCTTGGAAGTTATATTTCTGAATCTAATTCTTCATCTAACTACATTACTGAAAACTTTGTTGTAGGATTTAGTGGCCCTTTTTTATCTGAACCCATTCGGATTGAATGATTGCTATTGAAATGTACATGTCACCAATCCTCGTATATAATTATCGACTTAAATCTCGTTGGTGAATAACGGAATTAAATAAGTCAAATACGAGAATGGATTTTTGAATACGTATATTCCGTACAATCGTTGATCGTAGAGCGAAACAAAACAAAATGACGCTCAGTGGAGAAGGCAAGTGAACCAACTCAGTTTAAAAAAGCGTATATCGATATTTATAATGACACAAAAATAAGTTACAGACACGTGATGAGTAAGATAAGAAATGCACACATACGCTCATATAAAAATAGTCAAGCTTGATAAGCGAATAATTGACAAGGTCAATATGTGATTTAGCAAGAATGAATAAATTGACCTGTTTGTAAACTAGAATAAGCTATTTGGGCTTGACATAACAACAGAAACCACAAGGAATCCCGTCCGAATCAGGGCGAAATAAAATGATCTTTTTCGTCTGTTAAGTAACTGACTAATGCCATATTATCAATTATCTTTCTGAAAACCTGGAAGAAACAACTTTAACAATCCTTTGATTATCTATTCCAACAAGAATCATTATACATCGACAATGAAATATTACTCCAAGTAGATCACTGGGATTTTTAACAAATCACTTGTGTTATATAACCTCAGCTATCTATTTACTTCAGTCGTTCATATTTACTACTCGTTATTAAGCAAATATACTAAAGTGATTCTCATGATATTATATTATTCTCATCATACTGGAATTATTTTGAACCTCATTTAAGTAAATGCAAAATTTTCACCTTATTTAATTGTTTAATATAAATCCGATAGCAGTAGTGAACTGTGTTCCTTTTTTAAAATTACAGGAAAATCTTGATAGTTTACATTCCAATCATCTGTCACCCAGTTTTAAAACATTACTCGACACACTGATATCACTTGTTTTAAAAGCTATCCGGTTGATAATCTGGAGTTCATTTTGGTCATTATGCCTTTGTATAGTTTATCCGAATTCATTTGGTTATTTGATTTCCTATGCACAAATTAGTGGATTATCTAAACAAAATAAATCAAATCAGTATGATCTTATTATTGATCGTGGCACAATTGGTGCGAGTATTTATTTACGTACTTTACATTTATTCATTATATATTTACAATTTTACGGATGGCCATATATACTTTCAAATTTTGAATGTCTACTTATTAATTTTTTACATAAATTATCAAATATTCTTAAATCATGTGTGCGAAACACCAAAACTACTACTACTGTCACTGATCAAATAAGAAAATCTCGTAGTGACCCAAGCCCGATTCAAGTTTCGTTTATGCCTGAACCACCAGCATGTCTCTTACATTTCCTTCTGATTTCTGAATGTTGGCGGTTAGTTTACAATGTACTTCGATTCTAATCATGTAATGCATCTTTTTTATGTAACAAAATCATTCAGCGTTTGCCATAATTTCTTTCAAACCTGAATCTGAAACAGATATATCTTTCATGTATTAGTTTTTTACTTACGCGCTTCACGCACTTTAGAGATAATCCGTATAACTGGTGGTTGAGATTCAAAAGGACTGTTTTAACTTGGTGTTTTAGAAAATATTTTTCTATCAGAGTTATATAGTAAAAATGAAATTAGATCAACTATAGATATCAAATCCATGAACAATTCACCTCATTTATTGATTATTTTGCTTCTTTGTGTTTTGAATGGGATATGCTCTCAGATTTCATCGTGCTGATTACTTATTCAGTGCTTTGCGTCTAATTAAATATTGATCATAAGTGGATAGATTTGAAGTAATTGAGGAATCAGTTAGAATCCTAGGACGAACTATCATCTTCATACAAATATATGATTGTTTTCTACGAGCTATACACCAGACAGGTTTCATTTGTATTGGCTGTTTAAATCTTCCCATTGACGTTATGGACCTGTCTCTTTTGGCATATAAGCGTTCTGTGTGGATTGCTTCGATGTCACAAGCACTTTTTAGATTTTGGCTAGCAGTGGAGCCCAGGACCCACGTTTCATCCCATCTGAGGCTCGTCAGCTAGATGTTTCTGTACCCATGATGATGTTTACATCGGGACTCATGCCCAGAACCTTTCAAACAATGGGCAGTGTTGGGGACGTTTGAATCGAAAATTATCAAGTTCGAGTCCTGATGTAAACATCAGGAGTCCAGGTACATCCAGCCGACGAGCTCCAGATAAGAAGAAACCCGCGTTCTAGACCCCACTGTTAACCACCAATCGAAACTTTCTATAGATAGGGTGATTACTGGTAACCATTTACCTAACGAAGTTTAATAAGTGCGGAAACTCCGAACTGAAAGGCATCTTGCATCATTTTGTTTAATTTTAGACATTTTCTTTCTAGATACTGGTGGTCATAAGTTTATCATAGTTTATCATCAAATACTAACTTCACTTACTCGTTATCCTTGTACAAAATGTAAACTAATAACTAAGAAGTTATCATGTATAAAGTTTATATTGACCTTACCAGACATTCTTTTGACTATCAGGGTCCTATGTGACACAAAACATGTCGCTTTTCATTACAGGATATCAAGCCTTTCGACTTTTTTTAAGATTATGATAGTTATATCCACATTAATTCAGACTAACATCCACTTTAAACTTGAATACAGTAGCCTGGTTTATTTTAGTGTTTATAAATACATACTGACTGATACCTACCAGAGAATCTTTGAAAATCAGAGAACATTGCAAAGTTGGTTTATTTTAGTTTACGACTCAGTGGTTTGAACCAACTAATGCGCACAGCATCATGTTCAATACATTTAAGTCCTAAGGAGAGCATCACTCCTTTTTTGTCACTAAATCCATCATTTCAACTTGAGCATATTTGTTGTATAATACAATTTTCATCCAGTTTTATTAATTGGTTGATTTTTCACTTCCACAGTTCATAGTTTACAACTAGAACTTCAGGAAATTCATAGTAAAGTTGTTCACTGAACAAGACAGTTGCTTCGTAGAGACTTCATATTCATAACGTTTATTCAGTCTTTTAAATCGCTTATCATCTTGTTTTTTATGTGCAAATGTTTCAGGTCATTTGATCGTGGACTGTATAATTTCATCAAATCGTAAGTTGGTGCTTTTGTCGCTTGATTTTTTTTTCTGATAACCTTCTTATCCAGTTGACCTTTTATTTTGTCAATATTATCTACACGTTCTTTAATTTCAAACAACTTAAATAATTCTCATTGACTTTCAGTATGTTTTTAAACCTCGGCTCATTAACAGTTTAAGTTATTTTTCATAGGTAAATAATTAACAGTTAATTATTTTGATAATTTAGTAAAAATTTTGACATCAGTAAATCATCTATGGTAGTCGCAACTTCATATTCTTATATGTATCATTTTTATCTAGTAGGATATATCATCCATGTAGTAATTTATCTGTTTGCACTTTATCTTCAATGAGACTATGATTATTCTATGTTGAGTAACAGAAATGCCGATCACTGTTACCAATAATTTACTTAATAGTTTTATTACCAGTTAGATGATTCTCATATAAACAAATTCCCACGTGTTGAGTGGTTGAAAGCATTTATATTCAACAAAGTATACCTGCAATGTTGAGGGAACTGATGCTCCCTGGTAGGTTCTATCCAGGGTTACCCAAAATACGGGACTTTACTTCTGAGCTACTCTTTATTTTTTTATTTATTTAAACACATAAATATTGGTATAAGGAAGCACCAGATACATATGCGCCATACAAATCTCATTCGATTTGTTCGAGGGCTGTGATACTGCCCAGGTACCCGAACTGAAGCAGGTGGTTTTCTTAGGGGCCCACACCCGGAGCCTTTGACCGAAAGATCTGATCCACAAGGCAGTGGAGCATCGTGAGGAGATGCAGTCCCATGGTAGCCGTTGATCAATGATTGATTCGTACGCCATTTGTTCCTTCAGGATACTGGAGCCCATGTGCACCATTGGTTTGGAATCAGGGTTTTCCAACTCCCCTAGGTGGACTCGCCTTGACCACCAACCCGGTTAAAGCGCCGGACATTCGGTTTTCGTCCTCTCATTTTCGTAAACAACACCGGTGCCACGAGAAGGCAGTGCGTAGGACTTCCCTGGCAGAGGCTATATATTCGCTGGCCATGTGAGAGCATTTCGAGAGGGAGAGTGGACTCTCCCCACTCTCGGCCGTACCAGGGCATTTGGGGGCTGAGCTACTCTGCCCTTGAATGACCCAATTCAGATACTTCGAAGGTATATGTGGTCAAATACTCTTAATCTAAAACTGTCTTTAACTTTTAGGGTCATATTTCACAGCTGTAAACTAATACAGAGTGGACTGCTGTTTGGTATACTCGTTCTTGCGTTGGCAGATGGACATCTTACTTACTCCATAAGTGAAGCAAGTTGGCGAAAGCCATCAAGCTTTTTGATTCCGTACCGAGATTTCACCGGACACCAATCCACAAAGACCTATGAGGTTTCCTTGATTGGTAGTGATTGATAGGTTTAACTTCACACCATATGAAAAAACATTTTGCACTTGGGGAGGGGAAACTGAGTTCCGAACGTTGTTGTGTTGTTGCTTAAGATTATCAGGAAACTACATTTTGTCAGTCTTCATCAAACAGAACTATATCTTCTGTGGGTTGTAAGTCAATAGGAGGATCTGGTAGGAGTCCAATCCTTGCAGAACGGGACGAAGAAAGCTTTATCTCTAAAAGAATGTCGATAACGAAGTTAAAACAAAAGGTTAAGTTGAATATAAAACTTAAAGCAATTAGTCCCTTTGATAAATTTCGATAATGTAATAAGAAGATAATCTTCGCCTTCTTATTACACTATTGAAAATAAAATACCAACATCAAACCTTTATTGTAACTGGAAAAAAAATAGTTTTAAAACTAACAGGAATACTTTACAGATAAAAAAAAAGAAGAATGATTAATGATTGCTGATAAACGTAGCAAAATATTTTCTGGATATGTTCAGTTGAAGTGGATAAGAGATGGGAATTTGTCGTAATTTTCTACATTTTGGCTAATAATTATTTGCTGTTACCAAACATGTAGTAATGAATTAAGGAACTATTATTCTTATTATTATCGCTATTATTACTGAGTAATGTAGCTATTATCTGAAAGCCCTTATTTAGCATACTCACCTATTAAATAGAAGTAGTGAATATTATGTTGATTCATAAAAGTTTTAGTACAAATATCCGTAGTGTCTAAATTGAAACATTTATTAACATATACTACTCAAATGTGCATACATCCATTCTCAGTTTAGACTAGTAAATATATAAAAATATATTACTAAAATTAAGCATTTTAATTTGTTACAATGGGACGAAACGGCCGTCCAGTGCTTCCAGGTTTTCCACGGTGGTCTAGCTTCAATTGACTCATGATTTCAACTACATTTAACAAATTATTAATTGCAAGTGTAGTAAGGCTATGAGCAACTTTCCATTTATTTCTTTTTATCTTTTCTAGTTATATTTTTATACCTGTAATGAAACTCGATTTATCTTCAAATTATCAACATCCACTGCTCTCAATTATCTTTCCTGTCATTAAAAAGTGGTTAGCGCTTACTTTATCCTATTCATTTGTACTTTTATTTCATGGAATTGATAAAACAAATGGTAAATGTCTTTTTTTAATTTTGTTCACTTTTAGATGTTTAGATCAAATTGCCACAATTTAGAACTGACAATTATCTATATTGAGAATCACTGAAATTAAAGTTGTTATCTTGTTAAGACAATTTTCATAGATAGCTTATATTTAATAAAACAGAAAACTTATTTAAGTTAGATATGTAAACTACTGGATGTCAGTTTAGTGGTATAAAATTTAAGCGTTCGCGGCGAGAGATGGTCTTGGACTCGATCGAATGTGTGGTCGTGGATATGAGAGATTGAGGAGTCTCATACCAGAACAAAATAGGTGTTCACTGCTTCCTGTTATCCAGTGTTCGTCTAATTGGGATCAGTTCGTAATGAAGTCTATCAAAAAATGTCAAATCAACATTTAGTTTTCATTCTGTGTAACATGATTATATTGTTAAATATTTTAATGATTTTTATTTGGTCCCAATCATTGATACAAAAACGATAGATAAATGGATTTAGATGAAATATCGTCACAGTGAGGTAAAATCTGCATGGTAACTTCAACGTAGAGAAACACTAACTTGTGTCTGGTTACCATGTGTGTGATAGCATATGTTCTGTGTCTAATTGAATTTTCTTATCCAACTTCAAATAAGCTAAACAGTTGGGTAAATCAGTGACCTTGTTTTTTAGACTGCTTCAATTGTTGAGAAATGGGAGTTTCAAGTACTTATCCGTACAGAGTAATGATATAAGTACACACAGATCTTCCTCAACTACGTGCAATAATTACTTCATCTCTATGAATCTATGCATTACTTACACTGAAGTGATCTCATTTACACGAAATAAGATATTTGATAATTTAAGAACGAACTCATTTGAACAGACTACAATCTACTTAGCTTGAAAATTTTAGTAAAAGATGCTAGTTATCGTAGAATTAAACCGACTAACTGATGTTTATTTACTTATGATGCGTTTACCAGTAATCACCATTGATTTGTGTCATATTATAGTTAAAAAATTGGAACAGATGTCATCTATCTTTCACAAATGAGATGATATTCTAAAGATGTGTCGCCGCTGGTTTACGTAGAGCTTACCTTAAGGCTTTTAGAAACCTAAACCTTCAACATCACTGGTTTCTTCCTTACAATTGGTTTTGGCGTAAAAGATCAAAAATATCACATAGTTTGGTCACTGTCATCGAATAATCCGATTTAATTACTTTAAGTAGGAAATACAGGTTGTACGATTATCAAAATGACTAAAATTGATGAATTCACCACTTAGTTAATCGTCTACAGTCATAATGAAATGTGAATATAGACTGATTTTCGAAAATTCAGTTGAAACTTCGAAGATAATTGGAGTATGGCTGTTACAGGTCATTTCAAAAGTTCATCCAAATATTTATTTTACCAGTAGTTCACAGACTTTAGCGGATAACCAAATTAGCTGAATAGTGCTGTCATATTCACTATAACAAGAAGCACTATTCATCTTAATATCTACAGAAAGTTTTAATTGTCCTTACAAGAAGATCAGTCGTACTTGGATATGTATACATAAGATAGATTGATTGTCATCAGAAATTTCTTCAAAGAGTCATAGAACAGTTTATGTTTCGATATATTGTCACTAGTTACATAAAAATCTAATGTATTTCATCATCTGCTCACTTATTTAAATGACAACTTAAGATCTCTGTATGGGGATTTGTGGAGATTGTAGTATTTTAACGAGTCGATCTAAGCCAGATTACTTTTTAGAATTTCTTCATTACTCTGTTCAAAAAGCTGGTGAAATCTTTTTTTGTCATAAGTTAATGCTGCATAGCCAATCTACATATTGATCTTTTTCTACTTAACTGCTTAAATTACTTTAAAACTGGATTCCATTCACCGATTTTTCATTTAGTTGGTTCGGACTTTAAAAGTATGTATATGCAAAATCACAAAAAAATTGTACACGAATTATCAGCATCTCCAATATTGACATAAAAATTTCGGAATAAAATTAATTTATTCAATTTGATCCGTTATAAACTAAAATTAGTTTAAAAACCACTGAAAATCAGAAAATATTGAACACCTGTTTTGTTTTCGTTCGAAAGACTGTGATAATACTCAATTTCTCGTAGCTCAACTGTAACGAAGTCTAGAGCGTTCAAATCTTGTGATCACAATAGTTTTAGACCTCACAATAATTCAGAGCCCAACATTCTGCATTTCGTCGATGAGAACTATCTTGGAGTCGAATAAATCTCTACAAATAACCTAACTAACTAATAATTATAAATGCGACTAGTTTAGAGATAAATTTCCCAAGTCCCAATAAAAAAGTAAGGCCCCTGTGGAGTCAACAGTAGTAAAGGTGAAGTAGATACTCGCGAAACCGTTCGGGATTGGTACCGTTATTTCACTTATTTTGGCAGAAGTTGAAAAATATGGACTACAGAATTTTAGATCAGTGATCTAAAAACAGTATCGTATTGATCACCAGAATTCAATATCTTATACATCTATGATGATCCGAATGTCTAGTAACCCATGGTTCATCATTTTATGTCAGTACATAATTAGAACTGAAAAGTTCAATCTATTTGCACATTTTCTTTAGAGTTAAATTGATGTTAAAACGTTTAAATTCATGGTCACGTAAATATTACATCACAATAGCATATTTGTTCATAATTACTGCATGTAAGGTGTATATTTTATTATTTTTTTTTACAAAATAATGCAAATCCTCAAACTTCTCTTTCGATTATTTTTTCTTCATGTCAAGCAATTTGGTTATCTACAAATCTACTGCTTTTATTTTCTGAACGTTCTGTGAAATGGATTTATCGATGTACCAATCTTGGATCAGAAATTGTACGTCTTTAAAAAGAAAATAACCAACAATTTTTTATGATTATTATTGACTAATTTTGTTTGATTTGTTAGAAGTGTTCACATTTGCAGAAACATTGATCATGGAACTTTTGTTTGATTATAAATGCTTTCATTCGAAATATTTGATTGACTAACTATCTTCATGAAGACTATACTTGATAGTCATGTTATTGTCAAAGTGGTATCAGTATTTATTTTACTGAGTTTGGACTGTTTTTGCCTATTTTTATTTCGGGTTTTATGAGCGCGAATCTTAGTAAGTGCAAGCTACAAAAAATTCAGATTTCTCAGTAATATAAACACTAAGTCGTTATACCAAACTATTTTCAGTATATAAAGGAATTGTGAAGATTGTTGAGTTTACAGCTTTATATCACGAATTGACTATAGTTAGACAACCACCAAAGATTAGGAAGCACTCGATGGTTATTTATTTTAAGTGTGGGACTCTTCATCGGTGCACATCCACAAACCTAACAGAGATTGGTTCAAGCAGTGTATTGAGTATCTAAATTAACTGCAGTGAACGAGAAATAAACATATGTAATGAAAAATAAGTGGAGGATGGATTCTTACCGTTGTAATCGGCTTCAAAATGTCACCTAGAGAATCATAAAATTTCATTTCGCTCTATGGTTTGGAAATTTTTCGACCGTATATTACGTCCTTTTACTATTTAAACATACGTTAATGCATCCGACGAAGTTTTAATTTATATTATATGCAGCCAAACTTATTAATCACACTACAGTTCAAATTTTCTTACGCTCCCTAAAGATAAACTTGTTCAAAAAGATAAGAAATTGAGAAAATATGGAGAATTTGTCTAGGAGTGTAAAATTAATGTCATAGATTACTCAGCATGGTCACTAGTTGGTGTTCAGGCATTATTTTGCCATCTCGGTCGTGCAGAAGGCCGTTTGCGCACCGAATATTTCTAACCTTCAAAATTAGATAACACAGATCTATATCTCACAGAGAGAACCAGTTTACTCGAGATTTACAATATCCTTTGTTAATAAGTTTCGACCATAACAAAACTTAGTTCCAAGGATTCTTTCTCATTGTCTCTAATCACTTAAGACTACTTAATCATAACAAAAGAATAAGCTCAGGTCATTATTATTAGTGCGACGTCAAGAATTTACAGTCTGATTTTTGTCCACCACTAAACTCTGATGATAAGAGCTTTACAGTGATAAACATATCATCCAAAGCACTTGAGAATTGACCGAATTTTTTTGTGAAATTCTTTTTATGAATACCTATTTAGCATCATCAGCTGTCTGATAGATGGATTCGACGTCTGTCATTGTTACTTTGTGCAACCAGTGGAGTTCTTTCAGTTTTGGGGAATTCGCACTTCCTCTTCGGTTCGAAAGTGGCAAATCAACTAGCTATGTGGTTAATACATGATCCAAGTTAGTTGGACTATTTTTTTGATTCCATTTTACTGGCTATGGTGACATATTAAGATATCGTCAGTAAGCATAAAACACACTTAGTGGCGAAATCTCGTGCTAACAAACCGAACAAAAGTCCGTTCTTTTTAAATATTTTTCCACGTTTACTTTCAATGGTTTATTTGAAAAGTAACTAGCTTATCAATAAATTACATTATTTTTGTTTTTTAATGTGCACAAAATGTTGCTATCTCCGTCAGTAGGTCATCATTAGTATACGTTAATTTGTAATGTATGCCTTGTTTCATACTAGTCAGTGGTTTTTGTGAAATAGACTTGACCACGAACTGGAAACAGAAGGAAAACAAGAGGTAACTTGATCTATGCTCTTTGAAATTTAAAGATGAAATTTTTGTCCCATAGCAAATTTGTGGTATTACCTCTTCCTTGAAGAAGGAACTTATGTTGTAATCTAACATCCTAGTAGTATAAATATGAGCAGGATAAAAATTTTAAGAACTAGTGATTCACTGGATAGATTAGTAGATAACGTATACACAAGTAAAAGATTATTTGGATGGGTAAACTAACAGGGTATCTATAATTCGAATAACTTAAAATGAAAGTCATTCACAGTTGGATTATTCAGGTGTTTCAGTAGTTTTCATGATAAACTGATTTAATTCGAAAATTTATTGCAAAAATGATATTCGAGGCTAAAGTGATGGAATCACTTCGACTGAAAAACTGGTCTGAGTGTCTTCAAGGAAATATTTTCCTTTATATACTTGGTACCCGATTTATGGCATACTGTTCATCCAAACTTTGATGAATGTTTATATAAATGAATAAGTAATGAACTTTATTTCTTCTTAGTAATACACTCTCTGAAGCCAATTATATCCGATCACATCTTCTATATTATGGGCTAAAGAAAATTCACCACGTAAAACATTATTAATGTTTCATAATTAGGTGATAATCCTTGAAAACTGTTATTCACACAAAATATCAGATTTATTGCGAAAGACGTTTTAACTTCCGCATATAATTCAATCCAGTTTGAGAGATAACGACAAATATAAAATGGATATTTGTGCAACTCACATAAATTTTGTTTAACAAGGATGGTGGTTAAGATAGTAGTAAGGAACAGTATAATAAGCCCAGGACAGAGTCAGCTGGAGATTTCTGGTGGGCGGCCTTTGCTACACGAAGGGTAACAAGCGTAAGAGATTATATAAATTATTGCAAGAAACAATATTACATTTATTAAAACAATAGTCCATATCAAGTACATATTTATAAATTCATTAATTTTGTGCAAATTTATTCGAGTGTTTAAACTTTTCTATTATTCAATCTGGTATACCTTTATTAACATAGTTAATGACTTGATATGTGCTTATAAATATTTATTTATGATTCTATTTTAGCTCTACGTTTCACGGTATTTGTGTATTTCTATTGTCAATTCAATTTTGTCACCGATTTGAGAAGTCTATTCCCATCGATCAGACCAGATTTTGAAAAAAAGATCCAATGATATACGAAAATAATAATGGCTACAAATAGATTACTGTTAGTTTGTAAGATAAACGGAAATTCAACAGTTAATGTCAATGGTTTGTATATTAAATCCTAATCTTTAAAAAAATGGATGATTAATCTAAACATTTCTTAATTTTATGGCTTTAATATGCATAGAAAGGGAATCCCAGAAACAGTATTGTAGATGTAGGGGAGGAGTTTTTTTATAACCATACACGGCACATATCAAGTGGTCATTAAGTGGGACCTCTAGGAAAAAAGTGTAAAAATTCGGGTACAGAGAGCAAAACAGCCGACACAACAACGAAACTCAATTTAAAGTATATTTTCGGCTGTTCACTGCATATACTTAAATGTTGTTAACTGGGACAACATGACTAAAGAGAAATATACAGGTGCTATACTCCAAACGGTAAAGTAGTGACATTCATAATTGCGCCATTGAGTTATTTGGAAGAAATTTCCAAAAAAGTGAAGAACTTTCTTGCTATAACACAAGCAATTTAATGACAAACCTCAATAATCACTAAATCTCCCAATAATTTGGCATTTTGAATCATGATGAAGATTCCCATCTCAGGTGGACGCTTTTACTAGTGCTCAATATACAAATACTGTACGTCACGTCATGTCAGCAGTTTCATCTTGATACATTTTAATCAACAGTAAGAATAAAAAATACGATGTGATTGTAAATATTTTAGTCTACCTATTTGACAATTACCTGATGCACTACACTTCCAAGTTGCTTAACATTAATTGCAAAATTGTGCCTTCTCTGTGAGGATTAAATGTCAACATTTTGTGTAAGTACAGTGGATTAATGAAAAAGGTAAAGCATATCAATATACAATTTTTACTTATACATAATTCAACATAATAATTTATATTAAATTTCAAACACTGTTGTAATTTACATGGGATTTACATAGATGGACAAAGAGAATTTAAAAGATAGAAGAAATAGTCTGTATAGCTAAAGTCATTTTTGAACAGGTAGTTTTTCTTCTTTATCTAAAGCTGGTGTTTCGATAATCCATCTAAAAAAGAATTTAAAAAGTTGTGATGAACATGAAGATACTTTACATAAAAGAATTGCACACCTTTATAAAGTGCACAAATCGAGGGTTGGAGAATGGATGAAAAGTCTTAATCAAAAAACGTTTCCAATACAAATGTTTTGTGACCACGAATAAAAGGATTGAACATCTTAAAATATAACATGTGGTTTTTTTCTGTAAAATTGTTCAGAAAATAAGCTTCCATACATAACTTACGGACATGAAAGTAGCTTTGAAAGCGCCTTTGTTCCCCAAAAAGCAGAACCTTGGTGCCATAAAGACTGACAAAATCCCCATCGCTTAAATTTCATTTCCTTACTTGTGGTATGATCTGAAGAATGTAAAGAAGACTTCATTGGATGAAACTGCACTATGCGATTAAATTGTATAGCACGGGACATTGACTTCGGGGGTTGGATCTAAAAAAACGTTCACCATATAATCGTTTGTCAGATGATAAAATACATATCATTATTTGGAAAGCATAAATATAGTAAGCTTTGTAAATTACGCGCAATATTTAAATGTTTCTACTTGGCTTACTTGTGGGATTTAAATGATTATTTTAATAGAAATAAACTTTATACTTGACTACCGAACTATATTAATGACAGTAAATGGATGTAGGCTATTGGCTAACACATAATATTTCTTTATTTATTTGAACACATACATTGGTACCGGGTGGTGACCAAATACCTATGCACGATTAAAAAATGAGGTTGTGAAGAGATAGAGAGGGCAAAGTGCGTATAATACATAGAACAACAGTCAGTCAGTCAGCTACAACGTAGGACCAGGCACATTTATGCATCGGTCCAAGTTGCCATACCTCGTTAGCACAACAGGATGAACACCGGATTCATAGAAGTAATTAATTTAGTGGTGGTAGTAGTATATAAATTATAGGTTGTATATAAGGATATAGTACAGGAAGGAAGAGAGATATGAAGCAATTTTAGTCTCAAGGTTTAAAGGAAGATAAAGAGTGTATACACCATAGAACAACAACGAACAGAAATTAGTGTATGAGAGTAAAATAATAATGAGAGAAACAGTTGGGTCAGTAAAAATACAACCTGAAGAGAATTCTTCCAGTTAAAGAAGTTACGTCCACTTTTAATTATCATTGATTTGTGCGTGTGCTGGGATAATGCCAGGGTGCCCAAACTGAAGTAGGTGGTTTTCTTAGGGGATCACACCCCGAGCCTTTGACCTAAAAACCTAATCCAAAAGGCAGTGGAGAAACGTAAGGAGACGCAGTCCTATGATAGCCAGTGACCAGCAATAGGTCCATACGCTGCTTGTTCCCTCAGGATCCTGGAGCCCATGTGCACCATTGGTTTGGAATCAGGGTTCTTCAACTCCCCTGGGTGAATCCTCTGTACCCACCGACCCGGTTAAAGATCCGGACATTCGTTTTTCGTTCTCTCAATCTCGTAAACAACACCACTACCTCAAGAAGAGAGTGAGTAGGAGTTCACTGGCAGCAGCTGTATACTGGATGCTATGTGAGGGCATTTCGAGGGAGAGCGAGCTCTCCCCACTCTTGGCAGTACCAGGGAGTTTGGGGGCTAACACATAAAACTTTGAATAATCGAATTCATCCTAAATATCTACCTTCCAACAAGGATCTAAGCCATTTAGCTTTGGAGTTCGCCTATACATATGTAGATAAAGCTCATGATATCTGGAAATATATGAGATGTAATATACAATTTATTATAGATAATAACAGGATAATCGATTTTATGGCATTACTAGAATGACTGGGATAGCCAGACTGGTAGTTCGTTCATGGATTCGACAATCAAATCTTAACCGAATAAGTTAAATAACTAAATAAATAAATGACTTATCAAATGATAAAGGATGAAAACTAAGGTCAGAGCGCAGTTAATAATCCTTTACTTCAGTCCATTACATCAAGTGTATTGTATTTTACTTACGTAATAGTTCCTATCGGGTTTTACAGATTTATTGGGTTGAGGATCATTAGAATACAATGGGCAGATTGGAACGGTTTAGACAGTTCACCTGATTATATAAGCGTAGGACCTAAGACAAGAATACATCGGCTTAGATTGCCAGCATTAAGCTAACATGTTGAGTAAGGTAGATGTGATGAGCATATGTCCCAGTCAAACTAGTCAACAGGGGTTATTTCATAACTTAACCAACTAACTTATTTAACAATATACCAATTTATGTTAAAAAGACCTTACTTTATCAACCGACATGAATTAGTTGTCTGTGTATTCTACAGGAATCAGAAAGAAGCCGGATGAGAGATAAATCGACAAGACAATGAATGTAAAGGGTTTTTACTGCTGTAATATTTCAATAGAAGCGGAAATAGCCGACAATACTGGGGGAGATTACAGAACAGGCTAATTAGATTGTGGTTATTAGCGGAAGATAAACAACTTGTAAATTTCTTAAAGCATAAAAGGCCTTGCTGCCTGGTTCTTAAAATAAAATGAGCCTTGCATAAAAAAATGTTCATCGCAGTATAATCTGTGGAGGCAGACACGAGTCATCTAAGATAGGTAAACTCTTAATAACAATTTGCAAATAATCGTATAAAAAGGTTTCTCCAGTAGCTTAACGTGACTGAATTTTCTCCCCAAGTTTAGAAACTTTCAGAGCTTATGTTAACCATCACAAAATATTTTATAAAAACCATGTCATTGTTGAGTGCAGTCAATTTCCGGTTTCTTTTTTACCAGACCATTGAAATAATCATTATTTTAAATAACCGAAATTCTTAAAACTGAAAAAAATCACCTAATATTACCAGGAGTGGCATACTTGACAAAGGTCTCTTCTATATTTATTTGGAGGATTTGAACTATCATAGCGATATGTAGCTTGGGCACTTTTACCATTCATATCGGATTCATGTGGACAAATAGAATCAGGAGGTGGAAATCCAAGGCATAAATTAATATCATCACCACGAAACATTATACCCTGAGGATAGTGTTCCAGTCCAAAACAATGACCTAATTCATGCCAAACAGCACCCAATCCTGTAGCAAAAGCCGCCCAGTAGGTATGCCTGGCAAAGGAATCAATGAAAAACATCACGTAAAATACGGACTGACAATCGTGAAGAAAGTTATATTCATTTCCAATTATCAAGATGAACAGAGTTTTAATAGCAACTGCTATGAACTCCCTTTAAATAAGATTTAGAAACGGCTACAAAAGATTACCTTCGAACGATGTAAATCAAGCTTTTCCATAGGTAATGTTTGTATGACAAATACTGTTCAGCAAACTGCCTTCGTACACACTAATCTGAATTAAAGTTTTGAAATGATAAGAAATATTCAACAGGATATAGGAGGAGAATAAGACTTTTAGATCAGTTTGGTTGACTTACGTAAATAACATCAAATGTAGAATCAGGTTGGGTTTTTTCAAATACATTCAAATGAATACTTTGAACAGACCATTTAGACTTGATTCAACAGAACCAAGTAAACTGTAATACGTACAATAACAGCTCTTAACATACCTGGATGAAGTCTGTTTTTGTCTGACCTGGCCAGACATTCTATGATCTTTTCATGTACTTTGTTATCTGCAATCTTGTTCACCATGCCATGTGGGCTCTTAATTATGCGTGCCTTATGTGTGTCTATCATTTATACTTCAATTAGTTTTCTGTACTTAATATACTATTTATTTTAGATACATGATGAGGTATTCATTGTACACTGAGTTGGCTATCATCTGCATTACCAAATTTCAGAAATATGCGTTTCTCAAATGCCTTTGTATTCACATTTTTATATCTATGTTGTTAACAGGATTTTTCGACAGAAATAAATAGGACCAATATTTCATTAGGATTATTATCGATTCGAACATATTAGAGTCAAACAACAGGTATAACAACACAGTGGTTTAATTATAGATGATAACTTATCGTTTAAGAGGGAAATAATTTACATCAACATCTCGCGAATACAACTCACCGATAAGCAGTGTCATCCATCAATGTTGGATCAATAAATCTTGTATTGCCCAAAACTACTTGCAAATCTTCAAGGTTTTCTGGCCAAGCATGTAAAGTCCCCGTTCCAAGCAAGGCTAAACCCCCTGTTCCTAATCATATAAAAAACACCAAGTGAACGTTTCATAAATCAAAATAAGGCTGACACTATCAGATGAGAACCTAAACCGCAATTTGACAAGATGAGAATATTTAACCAACAAATAAAATCTACATTGAATCATCATGTATGGATCAACCGAATATCAATAAAAAGAAAGCTTATTAAAATTTACTTTATGCATTATTTTGATACAGGACAGGGTTGAATGGAGAATACTGGTGGGTGGCCTATGCTCCTCAACGAGGGGTGACAGGCGTAAGTAATTAATTATTTTGATAGCTATATGCATCAAACGTGATTTAATGAAATTAACTGGTCAATAAAACCATTATATTCGAGCACGGACTACAGACTGAGGTCAGATTCCCAGATCTGATTTAATCGAGTGACGTGGATTCTATATTGTAATTTAAACTACCATACTGTTGAGGACCTTAAATCCCCAAGTACAATTTGCTAAGAAACTAAGTGTAAAATCATACACCGACTTAATGTGGAGATTTTTAATTTGAATTCCCCGCTAACTTGGTGTGGATTTGGTTCGGTATAATATCCACTGGATGACACTTCAGTGTGACTTCTTTGTATAATAATCACTGCGATTAATTTTCAAGAGACTTATATTGAAAAATGGACACTAAACTTATAACCATGGTATTTATCAAACCTGGTAAACTCGGAATAAAAAGAATTATTATTGCTTTGTCACTGGCATTTATATTCATGAGTGTAAATTTTTTCTTTTTCAAACTCAGTAGATTATTTATCATATAAATTACTGGATCATTAATCGTTGACTTGCAAGTATATATTTGTGAAGTTCAGGAAAATACGTAACCCAATTACCGACCAGTTGGTTTTGAGAAACTTTCTTTTGCATATTCCTTTTCAAAATTTTCTTTCAACACTACAAACCATAAAAATCACTTTGACTTTTCATAATGTTTCAGTGATCTATTTTGCTTCAACTAATCTATGCAGTTATACGCTTTCACCGGTTCAAGTTAACGCTTTTTTCAAACTCATATGGAAAATCAATAGATATGCTGTTCAATAAATACAACTATGTCTTGGAAATGTTTTTAGATACTGGATTGTCACACACATTCGAAGGCGAACTATATCAGTTATCCGTCAGTATCAGAAACACTACCGGCTGTCAATAATCGCAGTTTCAGTTTACTGATAATCCACTTCCACAGTTAGCTGAGAAGAAATAGGTTTATTACTGAGAATACAGCCAACTTTTTAGAATCCGTCGTGTCTGTTCTAGTGAGCCGATCTTTCTTATTATAATGATATAGATTCTTGGCTTATCAACCCAGTCAGACCTGAATACTTCCTTTCATACATTGTCCCGATCAACATATGAGCGTATCATGTTTTAATGCGCAGACTAGTCCAAGTGCTTTTCTTTATTCAAACCTTATCACGCAAATAACTTTGATTTTGGGTTTAAATCAAACGAATATAGCTCGTAAGGCCTCATGATATTGCTGGTATGCTCTTTTCACTAACAGTCATCGCATAAGTTAGTGATTTCAACTATCAGTACCAATAAAAGGGGAATTCCATAACATTTAATGTTCATCTTACACTACCAAGAATTGAAACAAACCAGTGGTGTATTTTAAGAAACCTATCGAATAACATGTTTGATTTAACAAAACAATATAAACAAGTATCCACGTTTGCTCCCTGTTTCGAATGGAACGAAATATATGCCCTTCATTCAACTAAACGGCAAGTGGTGGGAACCTTCAAAAACTAGACCCTTTAAAACTATCTCATTTTTAAACAGTGATTGTTTTAGCCAACGAAATTTTAGGAAAGAATAGTTTTACGAAGTATAATATGATAAAAACATAATCCTAAGAGGATGCTTACCGAGAGCAAAATGAGCTGTTGTCCGAAGAAGTATTTCATTGTAACTCAGAAATTCGGAATTAATTTTTTCGGAGGGATGATAGCGTGTACATGCCATAAAAGCAATCCATTTTATGTTCTCGAAGTTATAAGGATATTTTTCGTAGAGCTCGTATGCCAACTTCTGCCACACATCTTCGGGAGTATTGCTACTAACAAAAGTTTTACTGAGACTTGAGTAGTGACAAATACAGCACGCTTCAGAAGACCAGTCTGAAATATTTTGCGATGATTTACGATTGAATTTTTCTTTAGTTATAAAAGTGCATCTTATTCCAAGTTCAGACAGAAAAGCTTCTGCAGTCAAAGTCTGCAACAATCTAATTCCTAGTCCGATACGTTTACATGCACTTTCTTTCGTGGGAACCATCCCCTCAGGAGCTTGGAACCACCCGGTATCATCAGAGCATATTACGTAAATAGGCCTGACAATATATGGAGAGTCACGATTATGTACATACACTATTCGAAAATCAACGAGATAGTGTTCACACCTTAATTGCAAGGTATTACATCCTACGGACAGTGGGACAAATACTTTGAACATTGATTCGCATAAAGTCCACTCCATTTCCCAATCGCTTTCATGATTATTGTGAACAGAAACAAAAACTGATGGACATTGACAATAAGGGTCAATATTTCCCTTTAACTGGAAAAGTGGATAATTTACTGTAAGTAAATCATAAGCATTGAATATATTGAACATTGAGAATATTAGTGAGAATTATACCGGCATGTACAGTATTACTTTTGATTAAGAAACCATTTCTCCATACAAGCATTTGTTCACGAGTGCATTTGAAAGGAACTATATGAAATATCCTTAGTGGACTCTGAGTCAAGAAATCATCAACAGGGATTTTACCTAAAAGCATCGGTAGAAAAAGAAATGAAAATTAGTCTAAAGGCATTGAAAATATTTGGGTGAAAACATACACGAAAATTCTGTACAAGTAAATTAGATATACTGAGGTGCTTTTGAATAGGAATAAGTCCCAAATCACGAAATATATAGGTTCTCATTCGAAAACAATCAAAAAGCTTAAGTTAGTTCTAGCAGGTGAAAGCAGACCCAATAATGTATTTCTGTTTGCTCGGTCGATCCCCTCAGAGAAGTGTAAAACCAACCCCAGAAGTTATCTTTACTTTGATAAAACAGTTGATAAAATATACTTATTACTATTGAAACTGTTCAATGAAATCGACAACCCAGAGAAATAAAGAAAGATCGTTTGATTAGTTCGGAGGCATTTAAAGTAACACAAATAGAAACTATAAGTCTCCCGATCCCAAGCGTGTATATCAAATGGTTCTGGACGGAATAGAAGAAGCTTTTGCTTAACGGGCTTCAGCATTTGGTAACAATGGATCCCTGATACTTTCAGGTAAGAATCTAGATATATTTAACGATAAAAGAGAAAAGAATTGTAAATTATAACAAGATAATGTCCTTAGTACTTAAGAATAAGTCAAGTTTCCTATTAAAGGACTTCTGAGAAGTCACCTGGACTAGCTTGACCGGCAGCAAATTCCAGAATTTGATTACCCTTAAGGAGTAGATGTGCCTACAGTTCTTTCTTTTGTGTTGTGTCTCCAGTTTTTTGGTGCTACATTTTAGGTTTGTGTTGGGATTAAGCTTGAGTAGGTGTTTACGGGGATGCTTAAAAGTATTAAGGAGGCTGTAATCCATTAGGTCACCTTTAAGACACCTCTACTCTAATGAGTAAAGGTCCAGTGACTGAAGGCGCACCTAAAAAGACTCGAATTTGAGTCGCCAAACTGATCCTGTGGCCCGCCGTTGGATAAGTTTCAGAGTTTTCTCATGCTTTAGGAGTGAGGGTAGAATTCTTCAGTCGAACGGGCCGAAAATGCATTCGGCGTATATCTCTGTGAAAAATAGGCAATTCGACGTATATCTAAGCGAAAAGTAGACAATTTGGCGTATATTTTTCCGAAAAGTAGACAATTAAGTGACATTTGAAACCCAGAGCGACATTAAGGGGAAAATCCGCATTATTTCCTTGGAAAGGCGAAAAAGCAGATATTTAGGTGCATTTTCCCATTATTTTTTAATGTATCTTCCCCTTTATTGGTTGTTTAGGTGAGCTTCGAAGTTTTAAGTGTAATATTTACTCGGAAGGCATTTTTGTCGCAGTTAGAAGTGAGACTGTAATTTGTGGACGAATTAATCACATATAAGATAACAAGTCACGGGTTTTGGAGCGAAATTTATTTACCTACCTGCCTAAATAGCGTTTTGGCAATGTTAGCTGATCACAGTTCGTGGTGATAATTATTATTCTAATTCCCAAAGCTAACCATCAACTGTAAATCATAATCCTGATTACTCATACTGGTTTATAACCCTCGTTTGGTCCTAGTTAGTAAGTGGAGGTACCCAAGGTCACTTTGGAGTAGCTCAAAAGTCGTCCATAAATAATAGTATCACAAATGCAATTGCACAAAATACAACTCGAATATATCCTTACTAGCAAAACAGATACTACAACTATGAACAAAATATTCGAGTTTCTATTTATATACTTTATACAAGATATCTAGTTGAACTTAGTCTGATCTTAAAGCATATCACCACAATACAGATAATGTTCCACGACCTTGAGAATGCTGATAGCGTGAAACTTGTATTTCGTGCTGGCTATCAGTTTCAGTTTCAGTTTGGAAAGGACAGGAGGCTTGATGGCCTGCGTTAGTCCTGGCAATGATGGTTTCTCAGTTGATCCAACTTTCTTTTGAAGGATTCGACAGATGGAGCCTCAACCACGTGCTCAGGTAATGAATTCCACTCGTTCATGATTCGATGGGAAAGTCGGTAGTCAGCTGACAAGTAATTCGTTCTGGGCTTGTGAACTTTTTTGGAGTGTCCTCGTAGATTTTCTGTTTTGAAAGACAACAAAAAATGAGGGCATATCAGGTGCAAATTTGTCATTAAGCAATTTGAAAACTGTAATCAAGTCGCCTCTGATTCTTCTATATGACAGCGGGAATAGGTTTAGCTTGATCGGTCTAGTACAATACGGGAGCTTCGCTATTCTGGGAATCAGCCTAGTTGCTGTTCTTTGAACCCTTTCCAAGGGTTGGCTGTCTTTTTTTAGGCAGGGGCTAGCTGCTTGTATGCGGTACTCAAGTTTAGGGCGTACGAACACTGTATACAAAGTCAGAAACGTTTGTAGCTGTAAATAATTCCCCAAAACCAATAGTTCATTAAGTGTTTGACATTGGATGCTGACCACGTGTTTAAGTGGACTTGTTTAGCTGAAGGCTTTCGGTCATGCATCCGTACCAGATCACGTTTCAACACGGCGTGGGACACAGCTCCTACGTTTCATTAACCAGCTCATAGAAAAGGTCCTCGATATATTGGTAACGAATCAAATATATCTTTCCTGCCTCTTCTCGTCTGACTTCTGATTTCTATCTGACTGGGAACGATCAAATTTAGAAGGTGCTACTGGTAGCTAGTTGTAAAACTAGAACATCCGTTGCATCATTATTGGTGAGACCGACGTGATCTGGTACACCAAGTCAATATACTGTGAGTCTGTTCCATTTTGGAATATTATTATTCATTGTTATTCTTTATTTGAATTTTATATATTGTGATATACTTTATTCCGCGAATTTTTTTCTCGGATATATTTTACTTAGACATTTTTCGTTATGTATATTACTTTGACGGAACACTCTCCCAAGGTTTTTAAGTTAAAGTCTATTCCCCCTATTTCGATTCAGTTAACGCCATTTTGGCCCGACAATATCGAGTCCCGGTTCTGCTATGCAGAAGCCGATTTTTGCATGCACGGAATCACGGACTCGCGCACACGTTTCCTCGCGGTAGTTAAGGCGTTACCGCGCGAGTTTAACAGGTACGTAACACCTAGCATGTTCACTAGTGATGTTCCCGAACCTTACGAAACGCTTAAGCTATCGATTTCAAAACGAGGAGACCTAACTGATCGACAACGGTTAGACCAACTCTTCCATAACATCGACTTGCAACATGGTTCTGCGACGGACATGTTGCTTAGAATGAGAGAAGTCATCGGCCAACGAACTTTCGATGATGGTCTATTTAGACAACTTTTCTTGTCTAAACTCCCTCAACAGGTGTAGGCAGTGCTTGTTTCATTTCAAAACAATGCCATAGATGAACTAGCTGCATCTGCCGATCGAATCTTGGAAATCACTAGATCTTCTAAGGCCGGGGTTTTTTCCGTCGAAGAAAAACCCCAATCGACCTCGACTGACATGGCCGAACTATATCACACGCTTACACGATATCCTAGAGTTCGCAATGACCGTAGTCGGTCAAAAACCCCGCGTAGAAGCGCCTCACGTAAGCGATCTGGCTCTCGACCACGAGAGACAGACAATCCCGACTGGTGCTGGTATCATAACCAGTACGGTAAGTTTTCCAGAAATTGCAGGAAACCTTGCAATTATCCGACTTCAAAATCGACTGACACGAATAAGATTTCGGGAAACTTCCCAGCCGGCACGCGTTAACGGCAACCGTAGACGGCGAACACAGCCGTCTGTTATACGTCACGGATGTGACCACGAAAGTTCGCTACCTCGTCGACACTGGCGCAGAAGTTAGCGTTCTTCCAGCAAATCTCGACGACAGACTTCGCGAGTCTGTTTTAAGTTTACAGGCGGCAAACGGAAAGCCGATCGCTACTTACGGTAAAAGGTACGTCTACCTTAACGTGGGTTTACGCAAACCCATACACTGGATTTTCGTGGTTGCAGATGTCTCTATGCCAATCATTGGTATAGACCTGTTACAACACCACAATCTACTCATCGACACACGCTTACGAAGGTTAATAGACGGAAACACTAAGTTGTCCGTTTGCGTAACTCCTTGTTCTGGTTGCAGGTTATCCCCAGTCACGATTAAGCACACCATAGACCCCTTGTACCAATCAGTACTCGACAAATACCCCGGGATATACCAATCGCAATCGAAATTGCCTTGTGTAACCAGCAATGTTACACATCACATCACGACTACAGGACCACCTGTATTTTCGAAAGCCCGAAGACTCGCTCCCGAAAAACTTAGGTTAGCTAAAAACGAATTCAACCACATGATGGACCTAGGAATAATTCGACCATCGAATAGTCCATGGGCATCCCCATTGCACATGGTCCCTAAAAAGGACAGCAATGATTGGCGGCCAACTGGTGATTATCGGCGTCTGAATGCTAAAACCATTCCCGATCGTTACCCGCTGCCTCATATTCACGATTTGACAGGTACCTTGAAAGGTACAACTGTCTTTTCGAAAATCGACTTGGTTAAAGCTTATAACCAAATCCCGATGGCAACTGACGACATTCCTAAAACCGCCATCATCACTCCCTTCGGTCTTTACGAATTTCTACGAATGCCTTTTGGTTTAAGAAACGCGGCTCAAACCTTCCAAAGGTTTATAGACGACGTCTTCCGAGGTCTCAACTTCGTACATGCGTATGTTCATGACTGTCTAATAGCAAGTCCGGACAGAGAATCACATCTCAAGCATCTGGACATTGTTTTCGATCGACTCCAAAGGCATGGCATTACTGTCAACATACAGAAATGCCAAATCGGAACAAACTCCTTAGACTTCCTAGGACACACCATTGATGCCCAAGGCATCCGACCCCTTAGGAGCAAAGTGGCGGCCATTCTGGATTACCCAGAACCGACCACGATCAAGCACTTACGAACTTTTAACGGACTCGTAAGTTTCTATAGACGATTCATACCTAAATGCGCATCCCTAATGAAACCGTTAACCGATCAGCTTCGTGGAAATGCGAAATCAATTAGTTTAGACGACATAGCCCGTAAAGCATTTTCCACAGTTAAGGAACACATCGCTAAAGCAACCTTGCTTGCTCATCAGGACAGTCAAGCGCCCATTAGTATCGCAGTAGACGCATCCGACTCAGCAATCGGAGCAGTCTTACAACAATGGGTTAACAACTCGTGGCAACCTTTAGGATTTTTCTCGAGACGGTTGCTAGACGCGGAATCTAGGTACAGCACGTTCGGTAGGGAACTCCTAGCTATGTATTGTGCTGTACGGCATTTTCAACATTCCATCGAAGGAAGAGAATTCACGCTTTTTACCGATCACAAACCTCTTACTTTCTCTTTAAATTCAACTTCAGACAAGTACTCACCGCAAGAGTCTCGACAACTCGACTACATTTCGCAGTTTACTTCAGACATACAACATATTTCTGGAGCTAACAATGTAGTCGCAGACGCCTTGTCTCGAATAAATTCCTTGAACAGTTTCCAAGGAATCGACCTTCTTAAACTCGCTCAGCTTCAAAAAGAAGGCACTGATCTTCAGCATGAGTTATCCTCGACAACTCTTAAACTATTAGGCAGATGGGAACAGGTAAGGAAACCTTACTCTGTGACACATCTACAGGTAGGGATCGTCCAATTGTACCAAAACACTATCGCCGCAACGTCTTCAATACGTTGCACAATCTTTCTCATCCAGGTGCTCGTGCAACAATCGAACTTATAGCCGAACCCTTTTGTTGGCCTGGCATGAATAAAGACGTGAGGGAGTGGGCACGCTCCTGTGTAAGCTGCCAGAAGTCTAAGGTAATTAGACACAACAAATGTCCCTTAGGTTCTTTCAAAACCCCTGACGCTCGTTTCGACCACGTCCATCTAGATTTAGTAGGACCCTTACCCGACTCGAACGGATACTCATATCTCCTAACATGCGTAGACCGTTTCACTCGATGGCCAGAAGCAGTACCGATTAAGGACATTACTGCTGAAACCGTGGCCCGTGCTTTCGTCGAACGATGGGTAGCAAATTTCGGCTGCCCTTCCACAATCACTACAGACCGCGGACGCCAATTCGAATCTGGACTTTTCCGTTGTCTGACCTCACTATTAGGAATCACGCGCTTCCGAACGACCGCCTACCACCGACAAGCAAACGGGTTGGTAGAACGTTTTCATCGACAACCAAAAGCTTCATTATCAGCTTCAAACGTTTCACAGTGGACAGACGCTCTTCCACTCGTCTTGCTAGGTATCCGCAATGCAGTGAAAGCTGACATTGGATACACGGCATCTCAACTCGTTTACGGAACGACACTCCGACTCCCAGGAGCATTCGTGGATCCTTCAGCTTCTTCATTGAACATGGATCTAAACTCTTACACGAGTAGGCTTACAAACGCTATGCGTTCAGCTAAACCTGCTCACACTCGACCTCAATCAACTGATGTTTTCGTTCAACCCGAATTACGACATAGTACACACGTTTTCGTTCGTCGAGACTCACATCGACGACCCCTCGAATCAGCATACGAAGGACCCTTCAAAGTTCTTCAACGCGAACCTAAGTACTATGTAGTCGATAAGAACGGTACGAAAGATAGCATCAGTATCGATCGACTCAAAGCTGCGGGCCTAGAAGGAAACCCTAGCCACGTCGATTTTCCTTCGGTACAAGCAAACGACACAGCTACTACACTCGTAGTACCCCACACGACAACCGACACACAACTTGATTCTTCGTCAACGTCGATAGAAAAACCTAAAACAAGACGTTCTGGAAGACGAGTAAGATTTCCAGAACATCTTAAC